GGCGGATCTGTTGCATCTGCTTTGACCCCACGTTATCCACGCCTACGATAAAACATTTCGGGTATTCGTCCAGAAGTTGCTGCGGAGGAAGGCATAGATCAGTGGACTGTATGGCGGGTGGGTAGGGCACGGGTAGCTTACAGTCAACTTGAGAAAGTAGTTGGCTTTCCACGAGGTCTTGTCCTCCCTGACCATCTTTGCTGTGGATTCAAGGATTCGGTTGAGTTTAAGGACAAAACAAGGAATCCGTTATTAGGTGATGGTATCAACTGTGGTAGTGATGGACAAACAGATCATTATTTATCATAATTACGAAAATGCATTCATTTAGTGCTAATTAAGTGTATAATAAGTGTTTTCAATAAAAAAAAGTTAAATTATAACTAAATTAACATTAATTATGATTAAGACATACATAGCTCGCGATCCGACAGTGAATGTGGTTTCGCAATGAATGTAATACAGGAAAGGGATGTAAACCGCAGTACATGTGACGGACAGCCTATGCGGCGCTCATTCAATACGTGCGCCAATTGTCGTGTTTATAAGCACATACTGTATGAACGGCCCATTCATAGCATGTGTTTCTCTCTCAAACTTTTCTTTGCCGTCAAATTGTAATTAAAAACCCATTTTAACAGCGATTTAGGTGTGAATGCATTGATTGACTGCATTAGCAATGACGGCATATATGCTATGGTTTGCCAATCAATACAATGGTTTCAGAGTTTCGGTAATTGTTTCGCGATTTACTTTTTGTTGTCCCAAAAGACTCATCACTTTCTCTGTTGTCTTCAGGAGTTTGAGAGTTTGGCGTCACTTCTCGCCATCGATTACCAGTACATCGAAGAGCCATCCGATAAGGTTTGTGTCCATTGCGATGCACTTCTCAATAGTGATACCACTCTTATTCCTCGACAGCCATTCATTTTGTTCACATCCGATGCCACAGACACTCAACTCGAGCGTCTGATGTCGCGGACAGTGTTGGCTCGAAGTCTGTACGAGTTGTGGACCAATTCGGGTGATTTGCAACAGTTTTACGACGACTTACGCCACTCTCCCAACACTCAGTT